AGGATATCTATTAACCCTTTATGGACTTATATAAATTTGAAAGCGATATATCAAATTTTTGTTAACCATTCAATTATTTTCTTAATTGTCATTTACTTTTGAGAAATCAATTCCATGATTTCTTAAAATTCTAAGATGATATTACTTTTCTAATAAATACCTGTTCGATATGTTTTATAATCATAAAGTTGTAATATGCAAAAGAAAATATCGATTTCAAGATTGAACGTTTAGAGGGGAAAGAAGCGACACCCCGGGGACGCCATTAATGTAACTGTCGGTACATTAGCTCATCGAATTAAAAAAGCAGCGCCCTCGACTCTGCTCGTTTTCCTTTTTCTTTTTTTACACGGGGGGTTGTCCTTATCGATCCATCTCAATTACGGAAGAATCAGGTGGCGTGGCACCGAGTGGCAGCCAGCCTGTACGAGGTGTCTGTGACAATGGTGTTTAAGATGATTACCACCCCGATTCACCCCCATCCTCCGGTTCGCGCGAAGAGAAAATACAGCGTGCCTCGGAGCGGCGAGAAAAATCGTCGTTAGACAAATGGGATGTTTTATCTGGCATTACGGCTTTTTATTTGAGCGCCGATTACAGCCATGGGAGGTCTCGTTCCACTTTTGAAGGGTAAACCGACACCGTTACCCTCCGCTGTCGCGAGATTGAGGTGAAACGATTTGTATACTTGCGTAGAAGCGAAGTCATCGGGAATTTCTGTCCCGTAAGCTCGGTAGTTTGATCAAAGAAGATAAAATTGATACGAAACATTGATTCACATTGCATCTCGTTGCGATTTCGAAATACAGGTATTTAAAATATTTTTAAAAAAATACAGTTTAATGCACGAATCATCGACAGTGCTTCGCCGACACGACTGGTAGCAAAAATCCATTACCCTTCTAACGATACATTCACCATGCGGAAGTTTTACACCTATAAGTTATGTAACTACACACGGAGCTGGGGTTAGGTGATGACGAGGTGAAAAACGAATAAACGAACGAGCGTGGCTCCCCAGTTCTCGCTCGCCCGGTCATCCTAACCTCGTTAACCACCGGTACACCGTTTGCACGGTAATCGTACGCAAAGGGTGTGAGATGAGGTAAAAGGGACGGGAGAGAAAGAAAGGGAACTGGATGGACAGCGGAGAAGGAGAGAGTGAGAGAGGAGGAAAAAGGGGAAAGGTATACTCGTCGTTCTCCTCGTACAGACCTCTTATGCGCTATTTAACTTATCCATTTAAAACTCAAACATGCGAAACAATTAATTAGTAATTAACGCTAGCCAGTCGTGGATGAAAGAGTAACGGAGAAGAAGAGTGGAAGGACGATAGGGTGTTCGCCTCTGGGGTGTCTGCCACCCCCAGAGGAGGGTACTCGCTGGCAGTGTACGAGGCTTCTGCAGAGGCAAGAAACTTTAAACTTCCCAACTTTAGTTCTGCTGTTAGCTTCTAATTAGTGGACAAACAGTTAACCTCCAGATACAGCCATACCGCTTGCCCCCACCTCGAGGAAGGATATTCCTTCGTACCCCCCCCCCCACTTGTACGCGTGAATTCGTTCGCGATCATTATCGTACTTTCATCTTACGGGGTGGAAATAATCGTCACAAGTATTAGATTAAAAATTCAAAATTTTATTTATCAAAACTTTTCGATAAAGTTTAATTAGACTGTGAACGCATACACGTCATCCGACATCCGAGACAATTCACTTAATTTTCCTCTGATTAAGATGCAACCTGTCGTATTTCAATTTGTCAGAACGTAATCCGAAGCTACGACTTCGAGCGGCGAGGTTTTCTCCGACAATTATGAGGAGAAATTTTAATTTCAAATTCTTCGCTCGTTTCCACGGGGATAAATCGGTGGTCATTACGCGTGGTCCCTTTCCCTCGTGTTTCCCTTCGCGTCGCCCGCTCTGTCCTTAACTTGTGCAGCTTCCAGATTGCCTGTCACTCCGCTTTCAAATTGTTCAGACACGGACCGTATTACAAGGAGAGCGAGTTCCTCCCGCGGTCGATCGACCACGCTGCATGCGGGCAGCCTTTACCGGCGAAACGACAAACGCACTCGCGGCGAAGGTTTTGCACGAAGGGCACCGGTGGTGTTCTGCGGCTCTCACGAGCACACGGGCCGAGGGGAGAGCCAGGTCATCGAGGGTTTCAATATGCTTCGACAGTAGTTACGATACCAAGCCCTGTACTCGCCGTCGATCGGACGAGGTGGATGCAAAAGCAGATGGGGGGGGGCGGCGAAGAAGGCAAGACGTGGCGGTGGGTGAGGTGAGACGAGAGGAGGACTATCGTGCTGCGGTATCGGTCGCCTTGGTTATTTAGGAAACCATATCAAAGTTTGAGTTGGCTGGTTGCCGGCGGTGCGCAACCCTCCTATCGTGGCCTCCGCTTCTGGACAATGAGATCTCTTCCGGCCTCGTCGAGGTCGCCCTTGACGTTCGTTACCGGACCGAATAACGGCACCTACAGCCATGAAAATGGCGGACCATTGAATCCTTGAAGAGGTCGACCAAGAAAAGACGTTATCCGTGATAGATCAATCGTCCATTATACGCAGGAAATCTGTTCTTGCTAACTTTCGATGCGCAATCGACCTCATCTGCCATCATTTTCTACGCGCTGCATATTATTCGGTATAATGATGCAAGCGACGGAGATATTTAATCAAATTAAGAAATAGTGATTTGTTCCTATGGAAAAGTAAGGAAAAATCCTTCGATGTTGATATGTCGCAACAAGCAAAGGGAAGGAAGGTTATTCTACTTCTAGTTCTCAGCTAGAGCGACTTGCCTGGGAAGGGTCGAGAGATTTAATTAAGGCAGAACGACGGGCAGAAAGACGAGTCGCTACGTCGTGTAAACTCGAGCTCGTCCGTCGGTTCTGATGCTGCTGTCGTAGCCTCGGGAACGAGCCAAGTCCTTCCTCTTCCTTGCCATTCTAGAAGATCGCTCGAAAACTCGTGAGAACGCTACACACGTCTGCGACGTATATTCGGTTCGGTCGAGCGTGTGCGTCAAACTTCCTCAGACCTTCCTGATTTCAAAAAGCAGAAGTTTCGTCCCATCAGTTTTGTATTTCCTGCTAAAAATACAGCTGGGGATCTCTGTGCCGTTTATGTTAATATTTTAGAAAAAATTTAGATCCCTTGGTATAGCAGGCAAAGAATAAGATTCTTCTATGTTACTATTTTAAATTTTCATTTGTGGCAAGACCTCAATCGTGTCACCCTATTCCAACTTCTCATTCGTTATACTTGTGTCGCCGAATCGCACGTCCGTTGTTCTCGAACGCTCTACTCGGAACAGTTCGCAGCATCATCTGCTCGGCGGTCGCGGTTTCAGCGTCAATAATTCGCAAAGGCTGCGGGGCAGCCTCTAACCGACTGATTTCACGCATCTGGCGTTTGGTGGTTTAGTCTGACCCGGTCCGTGCCGTTTGCACGCCAAGAGCAACGGCAAAAGACGGCAACGCTTACATGAGAGAGCGTGGTTATATACACGCTTACGAAGAGCAAGACGGTAGACGATAAAGAGAGAGAGGGAGGCTAGCTAAGCGAAACAGAGACAGAGAGAGAGAGAGAGAGAGAGAGAGAAAGGGCGAGTACGGACAGTCTCTGCCTCGCCACCGTGGTGGTCCCGTGATCAATATTCCTTACCCCCTTTGCCTTGGCTCACCCCTCCGGCGCGGTACGGGTACCCCTTACCTCGTGAAAACCCTCCTTCTACTCACACCCACATCCTCCCACCTCCCTTCGGGGAGAAACCGGGAGAAACCCCTGAAACCCCTCTTGCACCCTCGTCTTAATTAGGAGTCTGAATCTGCGGCGGACACGCGTATAAGGGTAGGCTGGTGGAGATTCGGAGGGTGGTGGGGCGGGTGCAGAAGAGGTCGGGCAAAGCCAGACGAACGTCGTGTCCGAAACATTATTCCCAACTTCGGTACGATCGCCGCAACGTCACCGCCCGCTGGACGACCCTTTTTATTATTCTCCGAAAATAAACACATTTGCGCTTCCTTGCTCCGTCGCAAGGCGGGTTACCGTTCACCTCGAGCCTGCCTTGTCCGTCCCTCGTTCTGGCCGAAAGAACTTCGCCTTGCTTGCCGAGTAATTAGCTGTTATTCCGGTACACCGAGCCTCAAGTTAAATATTACGATACATGTACACTGTTAAGCGTACTAGGGCTTTCCTTGGGAGAAAAACCGATATAGGGGAAGTTTCATATTTCCACCAATCGTTTTCATATTTGCGGGTTGTAATTTACACGAAAGTTCTAATTTAGTATTCGTTTCAAAGGAAGTTGATTCAATTAGAGTAATAATTTATAAAATAGACGATAGATTCGATTCGACATTTGTTTGCAATTTGACAATCAAAGAAAATTACCCGCCATCAAATTCTATCGTCTTGAGTAAAACGAAACGGGAACGAGGAGGGTTACAATCGCGATAATGTCAAAATAATTAATTATCGCCGCAGGGTGGATTTAGTTTTAAAGAAATTCGTTCTACGCGTATGTACGTTCCAATATCGGTGGAGCCTCTCGTCCATGAGCATATTTACATGCATGGTACATACAGCTCGAGTATATAGAGGGTAGGTGGCTGAACCGAGAGGATATTGGGGTTAGGCCATTCATTAGATTACGGGAATTCGGTGGTGCCCGTTCAGGGGTGGAAGAGAAGAGAAGATTGGGGGTGAAGATGGAGGAGTGGATGCACGGTCGAGCACTAACCTGCGTGCACTAGCTGCCGTCATGAGGCACAGAAATGAGGGAAAGGGTTGAAAAGACGAGCTTGTAGAAAGCAAGAAAATTACCCCTTTTTGCAGATGAACGACAGTTAGCTTGCGTGTCGTACACGATGGAATTCTCTTTGACATATTTATGCGAAGGCAGTGAGATTCAATAAAGAAATTACTATGAATAATTTTAGTCTCGTTTAATAATTATTATTAAACTAACATCTATTCTCTTTTGTTTCAGAGTCGGCTTTCGTAAGGCGGGACTATCCCCGCCAAATCATGAACAAGGTAAAGTTCCAGAATTTTATATTATAATTTAAAAATTGTGGTCTTTCTCGAATACGTGTGTCTTCAATACGAAGGGAATAATGTGTACTTAGCAACCCCTTCAACGATTTACACCTTCCGTCAACGAGTCAGTTACCAGGGATAATCGATCCAACATATTTAATCGCTTTTCATGTATTATACTATGCCAACAATTCCCCCGCAAGTGCAAATCTATTGATTTAGCTGTACTAATACTCGGCAAATCTTTATTTTTAAAATATCATCTAAAAATCAATTTTTAAAATCTCACCCCTTCGACCAAGCGTATGAAGCAAACACTGCATAAACGGCAGATTAACAGAGAATTTTACGAGTCCATGGTTTCTGAAGTGTCGGAGGATAACTAAAATCGTAGAGAAAAGTTTTTAACTTGGTCGTGCGTTTAGAAGTCACGGTGTAATCGAGGGAGGGGGGTTTGGTTACACGAAGTTGTTCGCGCCTTCGTGTACGTGTATATATTTGTATCCGTGCTAGAATGTATATGTATAACCTGAGCCTCATTTGTAGGCCCTTTATGCGCCGTCTGCCTTTCCTCATTATGCATTGCACATGAGAAAACTTGCTTGGAATCTCTTTCCATCTCGTTCCCTCCTACGGTGTCTACCTCTCTTCTGCAGCTCCCATTCGACGAGGTGGGGTGTTGATCCCTTCACCCACACACCCGCCCCCCCCCCCCCCCCCCCCCCCCCCCCACGCTTCTGTTCGCGTCTGTGTACTTCGGTAGCTCTGCTTCTTTATAAACTTTTAATGACGGCAAAGCCTAATCGACAGAACGAGCGAGCGAGCGAGCATACCTAGCTTTGCCCGGTCGCGAAAGCTATCCAAGAGAATCAACGTTGAATCTCGATTTTCGATACTCAATGGCGGCCAATGGGTGCTCGCAGAATTCGACATAATGGCTCTAACGTTCGTTGATTATCATGAATTATTTTTGTTCCTCTAAAAAATTTTCGACTTGTCTGCCTTAATTTGAGAAAAGGTACACGGTTGTAATAATACAATTTCTTGAAGAGTTTCTAAGTAATCAAAATTATTTCTAGAGTCAGCTTTTATAATTATAGGAGTGAAACATCTTAACACTTGACATTTGTTTGTCTAATTTCTGTTTATATCATTTCTCTTGCAATTTGATCTAAAACACGTCGGTACAGTTCGACGCATCGATTCTAGCTTGACAAGACAGTTAAGATAGCGTTTCCCGATTCGTGTGCAAAAGTGCGCTGAAGCGCTTTCGATTTGCAACAAATCATTCAGCGTTTACGCCCGGCTAGCCGCCCAGTTGAATTAAACTTCCACCGGAAACTTCGTTCTCCGCCCGTTGCTCCGACGGCATGCGTATTTGCAATATATAGCGAACAGTTTATACCTGCGAGAACTGCTTTCCAAACTTTGCTACACAAACCTTAGCGAGTAGGCGGTTAGTTGTTTGCTATACTGCAATAGCCGCTCGTTAAGAGCTGACGAAAATTAACATGTCTTCAAACAGGAATAGCTTAAGGTATACTGATGGACAGTATTTTTCTAACGATTTAACTTTGATATTTATAAAAAATTTTGCAACTTTATTTATAGAAAAGTTCTTGACCTTTTAATAGTTTATTCCAAGTAAACATCAGGTATTATAAATTTAAACTACAATGAATATTTTTTATGCTTTTTATTGTAATTAGTTACATCGTTAGAGTTTTATAAATTAATTGCATTTTAGTTTTTACCTTACACCAGAAAATTGAGTCAGATATTATACGACTGACAGTAGTCTTTTCTTACCCCCGGTGAATGGGGGACACCAGAGAGGTTAAAACGACTCCTAAAGCACGATTAAACTAACCCTTAGTTATTTCTTCCGTGTACGCTACTGGGTACATTCTGCTTCGCTTTTATATATCCACTTCCTGATCGTTACTTACGATTTCCTTGGGATCGTCGAAGAAAAGCTCAGCACTTTCTCGAAGCTATTAACATTCCTTATGAGAAAAAAAGAGATTAAAATTCTGACATGAATTTTATAGAGATTAAAAAGCTTCAGAATATCCGATACAATAATAATTAAGAGAAATTAAAATTCTTCCACGAATTTGATAGAGGGAAAAAGCTGAGGTATCCAAGCTGCTGTCGTTCCCTTTTCAAGCAGCGTTTAAAGGAACGCGGTGGGTTTAAAGTGTTCGGGGCGCCATTTAGTGGCGGCACTCTTTCATAAAGGACCTTAATAAAAATCCCAATCTAAACAAGCTTAATTTACGTCCGCCACATAATTACCTACCCCCGAGGCGACCGCCCCAGACTTCTCTTTCGCTCTTTCTCGGCCGTGCCACTTCTGTTGCACCGCGAGAGGAAAAGAGTCCTCGGGGCCGGGACGGTGGATGAAGAAGGTGGCGTGGAGGGCTCTCTGAAAAATCTAAGAGGCTTAAAGCATTAAAAGGGTTATATAACATTCATTAGCAACGGGTCAGCCTTTGTGAAATTTCCCTTGGAAGCGGCTGCAATGGCTGGACACCGCCTTCTCGTCTGCAATTTCACTCCGTAGTGCTGGTCCCTCCTCTTTCTCTTGTTCCCGAGCGTTCCGACCCTGCGTCTCTTGGGGGTGTAGGATAGTCACGCGAGCAGAGAGTATCTTGCAGCTGGAAAGGGGCGGCAGGATAGAAAGGAGGGGAGGGTCCGTCTCTGATGAAGATGTCGCACACGCCGGGGACCCTGGCGAGATTACTCGGGTTAGAACCCGTGGACCCTGGTCAAGGCACATGCTAATTGCTTTATTTGACATCAAGAAATAATGTACCGCTGTTCTACGGCACGGCTGCGGCCATCGTAGAGGAACCCCGCGAGGAAAGCAGATACCCATCGCGCCCTCTTTCACTCTGTCGCGCTTGTCCCTTCGTATAAATCTCCGAGACCGACCACCTTGGCTAGTACACTCGTTAAATCTCCTTACGTTCCGAATGGAACGTATCATTGAGCTGTTATACGAAGAAGTAACTCATGATTTTTATTCTCCTTTTTATGGTATCTTAGTTCGAGAAATTATTAGACTGGTGGATCTCAGTTGGAGATTTAAGAAATTGATAGAAATTCAAATGTGTGTCCAAATTGAATTGTCACAGTAATTTATAATTCCATACATACATAGTGCACTATATTCTTGATACAAAACACAATTATAAGTGTAGACAGAAAAATAGATGCTTTGAAGGATTATTATTGAAATTATTATTTCTTTTACTTTGAATTAATTACACTCTGTGCAAGCTAAGAGTGCTTCGTCCCCAAAGGGTTAATATTCAATAAATTTCATTAAAAAAATGTAATCGCTCCCTTACACTATTGGTCCCTTCAGTCATATTGAAGCATCATGCTTCTTCTAATATTCAACATAAATAAACCGAAGGCCATTTGCATTGGAAATGATTCAGTGCGTGAAATTCATGGGCATACGTGAGGTGGCTGGTCACCAAGGCAAAGGGTCCGCTCACCTACCGGACCTAATAACCCTTAGTTGAACCAATAACCGTTTCTCGAAGTTACATATGGAGGAATTTGTATTCGAAATCGAACGTATCCAAGGGATGATCGTAGCTTCGGAAGCGGGGCACGCGTACTTCTCGTAAATATGCTTGTTCAGTCGAGTGGCGTTGCCTTGCAAAACGATAGGGGGGCATGGAGGAGGTATACAGAGCGTTAGGGTCCCTTTCGAGGTCGCCAAGGGTGCATTTCATCTTCGAGAGCGTCAGCCCGGAGACCGATCGGCCGTACGCTCGATGTCGGATCATCCATCTTTTATCGAATCGTAGCTGATGGTCAGGTCGATGCTTTTCTTCGCTATTTTTTCTTCATAGGACTCTTGTTACCGCCATTTGTTTATCTAATGACCGCAGCTACTAATCCTTTTTTATTGATACGCAACATAAATATCCAATAAAAGTGTGACGAAAAGTTGATAAAATATTGATCGAGGAGGCGAAATTCTTAGGACGAAATCGAGATTGTTTCGAAACTTTTTCGCTAGTGAATATTTTAGGCCGCGAAAATATAACGAGATAAGAGTGATATATCTTTCATCGTGGCTAGTGGTCACCTGTCCGTTTTCACGTTCAATTTTTATGATTAAACTTTCCTTTCGATCGTGTGCGTGTATACGTGTGTATTGCTTTCGAATTGATCAATATTAATCCAACGTTGTCAGCATGACACATGAAATCACTTATGGGCAACCTGAAGTTCAATAGAGATCGATATTTCTTCGTAGTGTACGTTGGTATTCTTCGGGGTAAATAAGAAATAATTTCGCATACGTCACTGCCGCGATAAATTATGAAGAGATATCTGTTGTTTAGAGCGGATAAGTATATAGGGAATTGGATGATCCATCTTTTGTCGAACAGCGGTCCAACATTGGACGTCAGAGGCTTACTTCTATCCGAACTTCTGCTTTCGAAAGCGTCCATCATGCTTGGACAGAACACGTTCCCCTAGGCAAACATTCGTTAACATTCACCTGTGTCGCGTGATACCATTGGAGAAAGTTCAAAACACCGACGGATGTGCAGTGAATTTCGTTAACGATTATTGATGCAACTTTGATGCGTCTGTAATTCCAGTCTAACGTCGCAGTAATGTGTCATTATTCTAGGTTGATCTATTGTTTTCTATAACATTGAGAAATATTAAATTTATGTTCTATTTTCCTTTTAATTAACGAAATCGATTTTAGAAATTAGATTAAATTTTTTAGTCCGAAAAATGTTTAATTTTATAATAAAATTTTAATTTGTCTAAAATTAATTCTAAGCCACAGAAAATACAGAATATTTCAAAGAGTAATTTCAGGAACGAATGTTTCTACATTAGCAAAAGTTAAACATATAAATTTTCGAAAGAAAAATCACCAGCCGGAAACCGCGTAAAATATACTGTCGATGCGGTTCGGACGATGACCGTGGCCGGTGACACCGGTTCGAAGG